CCTGTATTGAACAAGTTCAAATAGAATATTGCTGAATGTATTTCTTCATCTGATTGTTTCCGTATTAGCATCAAGCACAAGTAATAACATAGTGCAGTTAAATATAGAAGATAGGATGCCATTTCAAAAGTTATTTGTGTTCCAAATATTGAATTCAGTTCGCGAGCAAGGTGACATAATTCTAAGTGAAGATGCCTGCCAAAAGACACATTTGGTTATGAAAAAATATAGATAATTATATGACAACTCATATCATTTTAAGAACCCAAGTGATTCTTATAATTTATTTTTATTGCTTTTTAATATATAGTTTTATCTTATTTAATTATTATTAGTACATAAGTCGATGATCTATCATATATATAAATGTGTATCAATTTACATTGAGATCCACAGTATCTGTTTATGGTTATCAGTACACATAATATATCGGTGAAGACCGACCACAGGTTTCTTCCATGTACATTTCAGTCCACGCTCTTCTCTCACTGACAGATACCGTATGTGCTCGCTTATCTTATCAAATCTAGTGCCAATATACCTGTGCAAAAAACATCTCAGAAAGTATAAAATATGTAGCAAATTAAAACATTTAATGATATATGATAAATGAAAATGTTTAACTCATATTTACATGAATTGTAGGAATTTTATATAATATAATATATATAACGGTATATACATATAATTTATATGTAATCTATCTTTTAATTCTGAAAATTTTAATTGAGGATCATATAGAAGTAATATATATGTTTAGCCTTGTATAAACTTTCTGTAGTTTTTTATTAAATTCTTTTATATCATTTTAATGATATTTAATGAATTTAGTATTTATTTAATAAATTTTACACTAGCGAGGAAGTTATGAAAAGAGGATACAGGAAATTAAATGCAAATACAAACAATGATACATTTATTTACTGAATAAATACTGTAAATATAGATATTATACAAACCATAAGATGAAGGTAAATAATAAGTCCACGAGCGTATTAATGTGAAGAGAATGATTTAGTATGTAAGGCAGATATAGTCCCCAAGAAACAGTCTCATTCAAATTTTGCCACAGTAGTGACTCATACACATTTACAGTCATACTGTACATGATCCACACAATTACTACTCTTTTCGACCATATATATATTTTTCGATACATTTTTGGAGTTCCCAGTTCTTCCAAGGTATCGTCTACAGCTGCAAGCTTCTTCAAGCACGTAGCAAATCTCTAAAATAATAGCAGGCGACAATTTGAAACGCATCTATGTCATCATCATGTATTATGTAAAGCAATTATGCTATTTTGATAAAAATACATTGTAAAATCAAAAAATAAAAAAACATTAGATATATATCGCTTTATACGAAATTTTTATTGTCTAAAGCTGCGCGCCATATTAGAAATATAAAATAATATAATTACTTTAACATTACTAAATATATAGTAAATATTTGTATAATTGTACCTTTCGATGATAAAAGCTCATAATCACGGACACAACCAAGGTAAAGATGTTAATCTCCGTAACGATTATAACAACTGAGGTCCGAAATAGTATTTCGATTTTAAAGAGAATTATTATATAATAAAAGAGATAAGCATAAGTAAACCATAGTGTCAGAGAGTATAGAATACTTAAATACGCAGTCCACCAAATCCTTGGTTGTTTTCCGGGGTAAAATCCTAAACCGACAATAAAGCACATAACGAGGAATGGACGCAGAGCCTGTTGGATTGTAGTTACCACGATCATCGCTATTGCAAATTTACTGACTGTTTGTTCAAACTTGTTTATCGGGTGTATCGCTATTGTGTCGATTTGCAACTGAGGTGGAACTTCGTAATCACAGTATATGTTCCTTACAGCACTTACGCATATTGAAATTATAGATTCACTTTGATGAGTCAAAAAAAATGATTGATGGTTGAATCTTGTTGGGATCCATTGTAATGGAGCCACTAATACAGTTTTCTACGTATTCTTTTTATTAGTTTGAAGCAAATACGTTTACTGTTACTTCTGTCAGTATTGGTCTATGTAACGTAACTTTCCTCATGTGTCATATCTGATGATACATAATAAGATTAACAAGTAAAAGGACAACGATAATGAGTAATAGTAATTTAATGATATGAGTAATAGTATTTTTTAATATCAATTTGTC